GAAAGCTGGTAGTCTTGAGTGAGGCCTAGAACAAGAGTAGGCTCTGGAATAGGTCCAGCCTGCTGTGCAGGCTGCTCTGCCACTAGGGCCTTATGATCCAGCAGATCCAATGGTGTTTGAAGTGCCAGTAGCAGGTAGGGATGCTGTTGTCTCTGGCAGGGCCCCATGGGTAAATCACAGCAGAGGCCTTTGGGATTTTGGAGCAAGGTTCTGCCATCATCTGCAGACAACTACTCTCCCTCCTGGCTGCTACTGGGCCTTAGTGGAAACTGAATGCTTGACTATGGGACACTAGGTTACCATGTGACCTGAGTTGCCCACTATGAGCTGGTCATTATCTGATCCACCAAGTCATAAAGTTGGATGAGCACAGCAACAATTCAACATTAAATACAAGTGGTATATACATAAGTGAACTAGAGCAGGTCCAGAGGCTACAAGTAAGTTACATGAAGAATTTGCCCAAATGCCCATGGTTCCTACTCCTTCTATATTGCCTTCTGTCTCCCAGCATGCACCTGTGGCCTCATGAGGTGTACCATATGACCAGCTGTCAGAGGAAGAGAAGGCTAGGGCCCAGTTTATGGATGGCTCTGCACATTATTCCAGCTCCACCTGCAAGTGGACAGCTGCATTACAACCTATTTCCAGGACATCCCTGAAGGACAGCAGTGAAGGGAAATCTTCACAGTGGGCAGAACTCTGGACAGTGTACCTAGTAGTACATTTTGCCTGGAAGGAAAAATGGCCAGGTATGTCACTATATACTGATTCATGAGCTGTAGTCAATGGTCTAGCCAGATGGTCAGGGAGTTGGAAATAACATGACTATAAAATTGGTGATAAAGATATTTGGGGAGAGGCATGTAGATAGATCTCTCCATATGGGCAAAATATTTAAAGATATTTGTATTCTATGTAAACACTCACCAAAAAGTGACCTCAGTAGAGGAGGACTTTAATAATCAAATGGATAGGATGATCTTTCTGTAGATAGCAGTCAACCTCTTTCTGCAGGCATCCCTGTCATTGCCCAAAGGATCCATGAACAAAGTGGCCATGGCGGCAGGGATGGAGGTTATGCATGGGCTCAGCAACATAGACTCTCACTCACCAAGACTGATCTGGCTACAGCCACTGCTAAATGGCCAATATACTAGCAGCAGAGACCAATGCTGAGTATGGCTATGGCAGCATTCCCCAGGGTGATTAGCCTGCAACCGGGTGGAAGGTTGATATATTATATTAGATTGATATATTATATTAGATTGATATATTATATTAGATTGCTTTCATCGTGGAAAGGGCACTGCTTTGTCCTTTCTTGCATAGATACTTATTTGCCTTCCCTGCATGTAATATTTCTGCCAAAACCATTATCCATGGACTTACAGAATGCCTTATCCACCATCATGGAATTCCACACAACATTGCCTCTGACTAAGGAACACATTTTATTGCCAAGGAAGTGACACAATGAGCTTGTGCTCATGGAATTCACTGGTCTTAGCATGTTCCTCACCATCCAGAAGCAGCTGGATGATAGGAAGGTGAGATGGCCTTTTGAAGATGCAGTTACAGTACCAGTTTAGGTGGCAATAGCTTGCAGGCAGGGGCAAGGTTCTTCAAAAGGCTGCCAAATACGGATCAGCACCCACTATATGGACTGTGTCTCCCATAGCCAAGATACATGGGTCCAGGAATGAAGGGATAGAAACGGAAATGGTACTAGTCACCAACCTCTAGTGATCCACTAGAAAAATCTTTCCTTCTAGTTCCTGTGACTTTATGCTCTGCCGGACTAGAAGTCTTAGCTCCAGAAGGGGGAAGGCTTGTACCAGGAAGCACAAGAATGATTCCATTAAACTGGAAGCTAAGACTTCCCCCAGGTCATTTTGGGCACCTGTTGCCTCTGAATAAACAAACTAAAAAGGGAGTTAAGGTGTTGTCAGGGGTGATTGACCTAGACTATCAAGGGGAAACTGGACTATTACTCCACAACAGAGGAAAGGAAGAATATACTTGGAGTGCAGGGGATCCCTTAGGGCACCTCCTAGTATTACCATGCCATTATTATGGTCATTGGTAAACTACAACAACCCAATCCAAGCAAAATGACAAATGGTTCAGAACCTTCAGGAATGAAGGTATGAGTCACCCAACCAGGGAAAGAACTAAGGCCTACCGAGGTACTTGCTGAAGGCCAAGGGAATAGAGAATGGGTAGTAGAAGACAGTAGTTACAAATACCATCTACAACCCAGTGATCAGTTGCAGAAACAAGGATCGTAATTGTAATTGTTCTTATTCTGTTAATATGCTTCCTTTGTAACATAATGTTGATAGACTTAATATTGATTTTTAAGCATTATTAAACCTGTGTCATAATGTTCAAGTTATGAAATGTTAGGAGTAAGCATCACTCAAAGAATAACTTGCCTTCTATTCTGGGAAGGGAATTAGTCTGTTTCCATTTGTATGCAGGATAGATGTACAATGTTTGGCCTAAGTATGAACTTCTCTTTGTATCTGGAGGTTAATTATGATTTAAGAAAATTGTCTGGTTGTTGAGTTGACAAGGGGTGGATTGTGATAGTGGACTGTTGTGTCAGTTTGAGAAAGAAATGCCCAACTGATTGGCTTAGCATAGTTCTGGGTGTGACCGAGTGGATTTACTAAAGATGGAAGAAACACCTTGGCTGTGAGTAGCACCAGCCAATAGGCTTGTATCCTGAATGGAATAAAAAGGGGGCAAGTAGAGCTCCAGTCTGTGCCTTCACCTTGGACTTCCATTTCCTGGCTTCCAGTGCACTCTTCAGCTTTGCAGTATAGACTCTTCAGCCTTCCAGTGCAGACCCTTCAGCTTCCTAATACAGACTTGCATAAGACTCTATAGTGAGCTCCAGGCCTTTGACTGGACCCTTCAGATCTCCAGCATGCAGACAGTCCTTTTGCACTCTTCCACATGTGACTCTGCAGGTGGCCACTGTAAGCCAATCTTGTAAATATTAAACCTGCTTCTCAGGTGAGCACTGACCATTATGAGTTCTTAGCTGAATGTGCTATTTGGAGGCAGGGCTTGGTTGAAGGAAGTAGGTCACTGGGATGTATCCTGGCAGGGTATATTCTTGTCCCTTCCCCCTTCCTCTCTCTGCATCCAAGCTCCTACGACATGAGAAGCTTTTCTCCACCATGCCTTTCTGCTATGATGCTCCTACTTTGGAACCAGCTGACCATGTACTGAAACCTCTGAAACCATGAGCCCAAATAAACCTTTTCTCCTTTAAGCTGTGGATGTCTGGTTTTTGTTCCAGTGATGAAAAGCTGACTAATACATTATCCTAACTCTGCTGCTGCCACCTTCACTGAAGCCATTGAAGCCATCCCCCGGACCAGAGGTCAGCAAATGTCTTCTGTAAAGAGCCACACAGTAAATGTCTTTGGTTTTGCAGCCACATGGTTTCTGTCACAAGAAACTTAACATTGACTTTGCAGCATGGAGGTAGCCATAGGCAATATATAATGAATAACTGTGGCTGCATTCCAATAAAACTTTATTTGTAGGCATTGCAATTTGAATTTCATATAACTTTCATGTGTCACAAAATATTATTTGTCCTGTAATTTTCCCAACCATTTAAAATATAAAAATTATTCAGAAGCAAATGGTGGCTAGATTTGGCCCATGAGGTGTAGTTTGCTGATCCGTGCCCTAGAGGATGGGGCTGCCTGGTTGGTGGTGTGTTTCTTGCCCACCTGTGTTCTTATCTGTGCTATCCCTTTCCTGGTGAACATGGCTAATGATTATTGAGATCTTTCTACTTGCCATTCTAATCAGTTGACATGGACAGTCATCCTTTGGGATCCACAGGGGGCAGCTCCAGGACTCCCCACTCCACACTACAATTAGTGAATGCTCAAGACTCATAAAATAGTATAGTATTTGCATAAAACCTGTACACATCCTCTTGTATACTTGAAACCGTCCTTAGATGACTTATAACTTATGAATAGTTAACCAGTATTTAGAGAATAATGACAAAGAAAAAAGTCTGTACATGTTCAGTACAAAAGCAATTTTTTCCAAATATTTTTAACCCGTGGGTAGTTGAATCCATGGATGTAGAACTTACAGATACACAGGTCAACTGTATTATGGGTCCTCAGAATCACCAAAAAAAAAATGCAACTCCATGTTACAGATGAGTAAACTGAGGCACAGTGGGGCTAAGTAACTTAAAATTCTCCTCTACTCAATATTTTCAGAAAAAAAATGCTTAATATGGCCAACAAGACCCTCTGTGATCCACCCTCACCGTCCAGCTATACCTCACCACTTCCCTTCTTCCCACCAGGTCGCACTGGGCTTCTCTGGGCCCTCTAAACATGGCTCTTCCCACCCTGGGTTTCAGTGGATGTCCCCAGTGTGTATCTACTGCTTTCATCACCCCCTTCCTGAGTGCCAGCTCTTCCCAGAACTATCCCAAGTCCAGACCCTTGCTCCATAACTTTATCACATGGTCCTTCATAGCACTCAGCACAACACGCATTTATTCACTGTCTACTTGCTTGGTCTGTGTCCCCAACAACCGGCATGATGGTCAGCACATAATCAGTCCTTAGTAAATAACAAAAGGAGAAAGGAAGGGACAGAGGGAGAGAAGGAGGAGGGAAGAAATGGAGGAGGGAGAAAGATAAGGAGGGAGAAAGGGATGATTTGCTCAGAGTTACAAAGCTTGTAAGGGAGCAGAACAAGAGTTCTAACAGTTTTGTCTGACTCCAGAGCCAAAGCTCTAACACCCGAGAAACCAAATGTTTCATCGTCCAAACCTAAATGCTTTTTGGGAGGGAAAGAAGGAGACATTACAGTGACAGAATTACACAGGATGAGGGTATAAGGCTGGACACAGGTCTCCTGGCTCCACTGCCTCTCCAGCTGCACGTGGCCCACCCCAGAATCCTCCCTGCAGGATTCCAGACCGTGGGTCCCCAGAGTCTCACCCGGGTTTGAAGAGGCTGGCCCAGCCAGGGATGAACTTCGGGTCCCGAGAGAAGAGGAGGATGGCAAACGTGCAGAACAGGATGAAAACAGTCCGCTCGGCAAAACTGTGACACAGAGAGGGAGGTGCCTGGTGACCCTGGGTTCCAGCTGACCTCTGCAGCAGGATGAGGGCTCAGTTCACGACTGAGTGGATCCAGGCCCCGCCTCTGAGGAAGCTGGAAAGAATCATTTACTCCCAGGTCCTCCCCTCCCTCAACTCTTTCTCTCATTAGCACAGGGAATTTGCCAGGGTCCTATGAAGCTCAAGAACAAGAAACAACAGACACAGAGAGAGAAAAACAGAGAGAAAAAAAAGACAAACAAAAGTAGTCAGAGAGAGAAAAACAGTCACATAGAGACCGACAGATAAACCTACTCAGAGGGGACAGACAGGCGCACCAAGAAAAAGACACACAGGGCACAGATGGACAGAGGGGTACACAGTGATTGAAAGAGAGAATGCCCAAAGCTGGAGGAAATAGCTACCCAAATGCATCCACTTCACAGATTGCAAAGTGGGGCCCAGAAAGTATTAATACCCTGCCCGGTGCCACACAGGAAGTAGTGGCAGAGCCATTCCTAGAACTTAGACCCACTGAGTCTTAGTCATTTTTAACCACAAGGGAAACATGCATGAACAAGGTCTGAGGAGCCATCAGAGATTGTGTCAGATATCCCATGTACAGGAGGGAAAGGATGCCTGGGATGGGAAGGACAGATGCCCACCCCAAGTGCACCCTGGGAGGCTGTGCAGTCCTCAGGGTATCTAACCCAGCGCCAAGCTGATTGGGCGAGTCAGCTACCATCCTCCATCTCCAGGCTCCAGGCTATGGGTGCTGAAACTCTGCTGGGGCTCGTGAGGGACAGCTGCTCCTTGCCAGGAGGCAGCTCCCCTAAACTTCTAATACCCAGCTCTTCCCCTGCCCCAAGACTTTCACACACCTGATGGGGCCCAAGTTCTGGAATTCTTCCCGAATCACAACTAGAGCCTTGTCTTCTGCATCCAGTGTTATCTCTGACTTCTTCTTTCTCCAGACCCTGGAATAGAAAGCAGGAGGTCCAGAGGGTCCCTGCAGGTGTGTCTAGCTTCTCACCTACCACCCACACCCACACCTGACCAGCCACATCGGAAAACTCGTCTCCTGCCTCTGTCTTCCCTTTCTAAAACTGTCCCCACCTGTGCCCTGCTTGACCTTTAAAAATTGTGATCAGTCATATGCTTCCCAGGCTTAAAAACCTCTAGTGGCTCAACAGGCTCATGAATAAACAGTCAAATCAATGGAACAAAATAGAAAGTCTAGAGACAGACTCCATCACAGATGGGAATTTAGTTGGCATGTGAGGTTGGTGTGGAAAAGTGGTTAATGGTGTCAGGCATACAGAACAGAGCTACACTTACCACTTACTGAAAAGTCTATACCTCTGTGGCCAATTGATATTTTGAACAAGAATCTCAAGATGATTCAATGGGGAAGGAATAGTCTCAGCATATGGGGCTAGCATACCTGGTTACCCATGTGCAAAAGAATGAATTTGGGCCTCTACCCCACATCATATACAAAACTCAACTCAAAATGAGTTAAAGACCTAAATGTAAGAGCTAAAGCTGTAAAACTCTTGGTGGAAAACACAGAGGAATATTTTCATGGCCTTGGATCAGGCAAAATTTATTAAATAGAACACCAAAAGCACAAGGAGCCAAAGATAGGAAAAATAAGATTTCATCAACATTTAAAAATTCTGTGTGTCAAAATTTAAAAATTCTATGTTGGGATAAGCATGTGGCCATCTGAACAAAACCTGAAGCTGGATTCAAGAGTCACATTTTAAAAAGAATTCTGTACGGGAAAAAGCACCATACGTAAAGTCAAAGGGCAAATCAGTGAAAAAATTTACAACTCACATTGGCGAATAAGTGCTAACTCTTCCAATATAAAGGGTATGAGATTCTGGGGGTGGTAACGCCTGACTCCCACCACTTCGGCAGGATTGAAAATCTGAGCCCAGCCAGGGCAACTGTCTCAGAACAATTTTTTTAAAAGGATATAAGCACACAGTTTAACAATTCACAGGAGAGGAAACACTGTCCATTGAGGGCTTGGGTGTGGCAGGCAGGCCATTTCTGCCTTCCTCCCATAATCCGCACATCCCTGGGGCTCAAGACTTGAGCACTGAACCCGACATCATGACAGGGGCAGCCATCCTTGGGTTTTTTGTGGGTTTTTTGGTACTGGGGATCAAACTCGGGTCCTTGTGCTTGTGAGGCAGGCGGCGGAACCACTGAGCTGAATCCCCAGCCCTTATCCTTGGTTTTTGAAGGAGGTCACCCCGGTCATTCAGGCCCCCGGGAGACTTGGGTTGTAACCTCCCCCCCACCTCCCCTGGGAAGCTGAGGAGAGGTACCTGAAGCTCAGCCCCCCGAAGAGGAAGGAGATCCACAGCCAGCCCACCAACAGGAACAGCAGCATGAGGGGGAAGGCAAAGATGAACCAGGAGCCGAAGTTCACCACGTCGCACTGCGGAAAGAAACTGCGACAGCGCGGGTGAGCACACCACGCTCAGCCAGGGCAGGCAGAGAGCTGGCCAGGCCCCGGGGCGTCAGGGGACCCTGTGACCATGGTACCCTTCGCTCTTCCTTGGGGACGCTCGACCTGACCCGCTGCAACTGTAGGTGTCACCTGTGCCCTGGGGGGCCACACAGGTGCCGAAGGGAGTGAGGAGAGCAGGCTGGACTACGTGACTAGCAAAATGATACGGGCGAAAGTGCACGGACACAAACCCAGACATTTCTAAATAAATAAACAACCAAAACCTGAAGAGCTGCTACATGATACACAAGCAGATGAGCAAAAAATATTATAAATTATACAATGGGAGTCCGAGAAATTTTTCTTTATCTGCATTTTCCACAAATATAATTAGGCAAAAAAGGAAAAATATTATTTGAAAAACAGTAAAATATTAATAGTTATGTGGTCAGTCACATAATTCACAATAGCAAAACAATAATAAAATGAAAACAATCTAAATGTCTGTGACAGAAAGTATGACACTTCTCCAAAATAGCTTAATTTAGTTATTAAACTTTTGTTTTTTCTATAAAATTTTGTTTCCTATAAAATTATAGTGATAAAATCCGGCCATAAAACTATATATACAGCATGATAACAATGTTACATATATGTACACATATATTTAATAAATGAAGGTAGAAAATCTAAAAGAAAGTCTGCTATCAGTGAGATTGAGGGTACTTCCAACTCAACTTTTTCTATAATTTCTAAGTATTTCATAATGTGTCCATATCATTTTATAGTCAGAGTAAACCAAAAATGGCCTTTGGGAGCACAGGCCAAGGACCTAGGGGGGCCATTTTCTCTGACCCCTACCCCTACCCCAGGCCTATTTAGTTCTCAGCTGGAGAACCAAAGCCACACATTACCTCGGATTTGGGGGTGGGGGGGAAGGGGGGGTACTAGGGATTAAACCCACGGCCTTTACATTGAGCTACATCCCCAGCCCTTTAAAGAAAACAATTTTTTTTTGAGGGAGGATCTCACTAAATCACTAAGTTGCCTATCCTGGGCTTGAACCTGTGACCTTCAAACTTCCAGGGTGCTGAGATTACAGGCCTCTACCACTAGGCCTGGCTCTGGCATTCCTCTTGAAGCCCCATTTTCCACACCAAAAGGCCCAGGTGTTGCCACTAAATGTGGCATATGATTTGCATGTCATTTACTCAGAATCCTACATATTTAGTATTTTCACTTACACAGCTCAGTGCTTGCTTCCTAATTTCTTTTCGGGTTGGCTCAAGGTCCTGCTCACAGCAGGGTGGGCAGGCAGCCTGAAATCATAAGATAGCACCTGCCCCAACCCAGGCCCTGTGCTGTACCCCCACAGCCCTCGGTCTTCTGCCTAGACCTGCTGTGGCTCCAGCAAATTCCAACACCACTCAGCCTCCACCTGGGGAAATTAAGGAAAGGAAGGGTCAGGCCTCCATTCTCCCCAGCCCTGGAGCAGGAGCGTCCTGGCTTCTGGTTTCTCTGTGCTGACCAATGAGGCACAGCTAGGCCTTGTTCAAAGAGTAGAGACTCAACAACATTTGAGGTTCGCATTGAAACCCTGTGAGCTTAAACTGAGAGGTAAAATATGGTGCACAGTCCCCACCCCATACTTCCTGAATCAGAATCTCGGTAATCAAGGTCCAGATTTTTTTTAACCTCCTTTGATTCTAACAGGCACATGGGGCTGAGCGTTACTACTTTCTAGCATCAAATCTTAAAATCAAAGAATTCATCTTATCCAGGACTAAGGCTTTAAAATCAGCATCTGAGGCCAATCATGGGTGCACTGAAAACTCCTCATGAAATAACTTCAATTTCTCACAAGTCTGGGGCAGACGAGACTACCAGGACCCATTCTCCTCCAGCATCCTCCCTGGTTTTGACTCTTTGGTTGAGCACCAGGTAGAGGAGTTGCCATGGCAAATATCAAATAATTTCTGTTGCTGTTTGCCAGATAGTTCCATTTGCATTTGTGCAAATTAAAGTCCATATATTGCTTCTGCACTGTGAAAGAATCTTAGGAATTCAGCCTCTCAGAATCCTGGAATCTGAACATTGTGGGCAGAATCTGGAATGTTTAAACTCTAGACACTAAACTCTGGGAGAAGAGAATGAAGTCCTGCAGCAGAATACTCTTCTATTCCCATATCCCAACTTCCAGGGGCCTGGTCACCGCCTAAACACTTCCAGTGCATAGAGAATTTACTTCCTGGTAGAGGGACCCTAATCAAAGCTGGGAGGCTTCTTTCAGGTCATTTCAGGCACAAACCAAAGCTGGGGTTCACTTTTAATGCACCAGGTCACAACTCTGCTCTCATCACTCCCTTGGAAGGAAGGCCGGGGTCCTCAGATGCTAGACGTGTAGGCTTATCTCCTTTCCCTTTCCCTCACCTGTCTATTCCAGCCCCCTCCCCCCCAGTAGTGGGGTCTCACTATGTTCCCACGTTGGTCTCCTGTTCATGGGCTCAAATGATCCTCCTGCCTCAGCCTTCCAAAAACTGGGACTAAAGGGGTGCACCTCCGTGTCTGGCTTTCCCTGGTCTTGCTGTTCCCTGAGACTCCCTGGGAACAATCCCACTTCAAAGCCTTTATACTTGCTGTTCCTTGTCTGAAATGCTCTTCCAGCCTGTGCCCACATAGCTCATATCCTCACCTCTCAGTCTCTGCTCAAATGTCACCTCTGCAGAGGGGACGGAGGTCACCATAGGACTCGGCTCTGGTCTCTTCTACCTTCTCACCCTGCTTTATTTTCATTCCTAACAGTCACACATACAAAATCTACTCATTTTTGTTTAATGCCAATCTCTCCCACAGAATGGAAGCTTTCTGTGAGCTGAGATTTGCTGGGGTCCTCGGTACAGAGGCTCTGGGAGGGGAGGGAGGAGGGAGAGGAGCAGAGAGGAACCTCGGGCAGGTGGGGACACTTGCTCTCACCTCTTGAGCTGGCCCAGCAGGATGAGGTTGGGGGCCGTGCCTGTGAGGGTGGCAGTGCCCCCAATGCTGGCCGAGTAGGGGATGGAAATGAGGAAGCCCTTCCAGATGTTCCTGTGATACTCCTCCTCCTTCTTGGAGTCAGCAAGCAGGTCCAGTGGCACCTCCACCTCCTCAGATTGGCCTCTGCTATAAATGACCCAAAGAGAAGCCGTTCAGAACTCCATCAGAACTGCTGGTCTCCCAGACATGGGCCACACGCTGCCGAGGTCAGGGGAGCCAAGTGGTCTTTCTAGAAGCAAAGTTGCACAGGCATGGAAACCCTTCAGTCCTGCTCTTCTCCCCAGGAACTTTCCCCAGAGAAATAACGAGTCAGGTACTTTGGGTGTGGCCACCAGGGAAGCCACCATGGCATTAAATATACTTTTTAAAAATCAAAAACAGCCTAAACATCCATCAAAAAGGGATTGGCTGCCAGGTGTGGTGGTGCACATCTGTAATCCCAGAAAACCGGGAGCCTGAGGCAGGTGGATCACAAGTTTGGGCCCAGACTGGGTAATTATGGACTTAAGGAGACCCTGCCTCAAAAAGAGAGTGGGGGCTGGGAGTGTAGGGTAGTGCAAAGGCCCTGGTTTCGATCCCTGAGGTGTAAGTGAAGGTATCAATATTATTTAGGTTTTGGTTTTTAAATTATTCATGTTTCATATTGTTTTGGTGCCTCTCTTGGGGGTGAAATTATGGACATTTTTCCACTTTAATTTTTTATTTGAATTTTGGGGGTTGTTTTCCTTGTACAGTTCGTTTTGAGGAAAAATAAAATTAAGAGTTATTAATTATATCATTAAGAGATCATGATGTTGACATGAATTTACTGAGGTGAAAAGATTTTCACTATACTCCATTAAGGCACATAGCAGGTTACAAAACAGTATAAATGGCATGGCCAGGGTTATTTTTTCATTTTAAAAAATGCAATAATATAGGGAGATATTAAGAAATCATCTAGAATAGTATTCATTTAACTGTCTCTAAGTGTGAGATGCTGAGCACATTTTTAAGGAGTATTTTTTGACTTGTACTATCATAACATGTTTCTAAGCAGATAAAATTAAGAACTTCTAGTAAGTATGTGAGGCAATGGATGTATTAATTCGCTTGACCATCGTGATCATGTTACAATTATACGTATCTGAAAACATCACATCACATTGTATATGTTAAAAAATACTACTTTGTCAGTTATACTCCATAAATCTGGAAAAGAAATTAAGATTAAGGCCAGAATTGCTTCCGTATAACAAAACAATTTTTAAAAATTATTTTTAAAGAAAAAAGATAATTTAAATACCTGCTGGCCACTTAAGAGTTTTCTCCCCAGAGGGCAATGGAGACCTGACCTGTGGGCTAAGCAGTCAGTTTCCAGCCTGAGGGAAGGCACAGACTGGAGCAGCTGGAGACAGAGGTCCTGGTCTGCCTTTGGAGGGTTGAGAGGCCTGATCAGGAGCCGTGGCAGCCTCACACCCAGGGTCCCAGCCAGACTGAGCCTCAGAAGGGGGAGAGGGCAGAAAGGGCCCTGGAGTTCATCTGGGGCAATCTGTACTTTATTCAGGTGGGAAAAGAGAGGGCCAGAGAGGGGAAGGGCTTTGGATCTAATGAACAGAGACCTTCAGAGGGTGGGGACTAGGTCTTTTTCAATAGCCCCAGTGCAAGCTCTGCACGGACAGATGTTTAAAATACATTTCTAGGTCACATGCTGGTGAGTGCTTGGCCCAATCACAGAGCCCGTGTCTCAAAGTTAGATTGAAAGTCTCCAAATATGGTTCCGGGAAGGAGCAGTGGCCGTAAGATCATGTTCCTCCTCCTCGGCTGCCATCTCATTCAAAGTCAAGGCTGCATCAGTGCCCTATGAGGTCCCAGATGCTCTGTCCCTCTGCCAGCACCTTCTCATCACTCAGGCAATCTCTCAAACCCCACTTCCTACAATCCTCTTGCCTGGTTTAAGCCACACTGGCTTCCTGGTGTCTCTCTGGACCCTCAGGATCATTGCATATGCTGGTCCATCCCTCTGCTGAGAACACTTTTTCCCCAGACCCCTCACTTCCTGCAGGGGTTTGCTCAGGCTCAACCCTCCTGGGAGGCCTTCCCACTCACTTTAAAGCTGCTTTTTCCACCCTTCAGCCCACTGCCCTCTTCCTGCTTTGTTCTCCCCATGGTCCTTACCAACCATAGGACGTAATATGGGTTTTATGTTCCTTTGCTTCTTGCCACTAGAGCATAAGTTCCTTAAGTGGTAGGAGTTTTATCTGTCCTTACTGTATCCCCTGCACCTAGACCAGAGCCTAGCTCATCACAAGCCCTCAATCAATATGTGTTGAGTGAAGGAAACAGACCCGACTGACGCCTAGCACTGCCTTTAACAAATGACCTTGCTGCCTGCTGTTCCATCACTGTTAAGAGGAGGGAATTGCACCTGAGTAACGAGGGCTGCCATCTGTGCACACAAGGCCTAGGCGACCTGCTTTGTCACGTTATCTCATCTGTCCTCAAAGCAGCCTTCTAAGGTGGGCCCAGGGTCACGTCCAGCTGTAGGTGAAGACCAACCCAGGCACAGGGAAGTTAAGTGACTCAACCAAGTCACACGGTCAGCAGGGCCAGAGTTCCAAGTCAGGTCCACATGACTTCAAACTCCACAGCCTTCACCCTTGTCAAAATGCAAAGGCCGTGGCAGACTAATGGACAACATCAGTGTGAAGGGGTCACATAAGTGTGAAGGACTGCCACTGGGTTACAGGATGTCTTTGTCTTTACCTACAGCACACGCCCTCCAGCTCTCCTGCATCTCTTCTTTTCGAGGAAAGCTCCAACGCCCCCCAGCCTCAGCGCAACCTTGAGGATTCAACGCGTCCCCCACCCTTTCTGCACAGGACTTAAAGGAGGCCTTAGAGGCCCATGTTGAGGCCACAAAGGCAAATCAGGAACATCTGGGCACTGAGTTGTTCAGAGAGAAGCTTGGGGCTGGGAGGGACGGGCTGTAGATCAACTCTTCTCATCATTGTCTCCCTGAACCACACCCGCCCCTCAGTCCACTCCACCAGGAACTTACCCCTCCGGGTGGGAGCTGGCCAGAAACTGAGTCTCTGTGGGCGTGGTGTGCAGCCCGTTCCCCCGCATGGCACCTGGGGAAAGAGCACCATGGCTTTAGTCCAAGAAGCCAAAAGGGACAGGAGGGCCCAAGTGCAGCCAGTCAAGACTTTGTCTTCACTGCCAAGGACCCTGTACTGTCCACTGCACAGAAAAAAGAAAAAGACAGCAGGGTTGAAGGTTCGAGAGAAGACCAACCGTCAACATTCCATCCTCTTGTCCCACCATCCACCCACATCCGAGATGGCCCCAGGCCTGTGGGCAGGGAGCAGCTCCAAGGCTGCTTACCAACCCATAACTCAAGCCAAGTCTTCCCAAGCAGCCACTGCCAAGGGGGTATTTGGGAGAGATCAGCTGAGTGAAAATGGGTCAGGATTGGGAGGGGTGATCGCCACTGTCCATTCATTCATGCACCTAACATAGTATTTATTAAGTACCTGCAACAGGCTACGGACTATGGCCTTGGGGTACTCAGTGAGCAATATAGGACAAGGTCCCTGTTCCCTCTATTCTAGAAAGGGAGACAGGCAATGAAAATTTCAAGGAGGGTTGAATGTTATGAAGGAAAGAAAACTGGGGAATGATGGAAAATGAAAAGCGAGATGGACAAAGGCCCTGAGGCAGGAGTGTGTCCAGTGTGCTGGGAAGCAGGAAACATGAGGGGCAGGAGGGGCCCAAGAGAGGAGAGCGAAAGAACTGAGTGGCAGAAGTGTCAGGTTGTCAGGAAACAGGCTGGATCACACAGAGGCGCTGGGGCTCCCAGGGAGGACTTTGACTTCTCTGAGTCAGGTAGGAGGCAGGGTAGTATTTGAGCAGAACAGGCTGGGACAGGATTTGACTTCATTTCTGAAGGGTCCTTCTGCTTATAGACCAGGATCTGCAGTAGTTTTGACAGTTTTTAGATAAGAAAAATGGAATGAGCTAATAGTTCCTGTGGCTGGAACCATCATGAAGGATCAAAGAATCCACCCTTGGGGGCTAAACATGTGACCCTGGCTTCAAATCAGCTCTATCACTTACTAAGTGACCTTGGACCAGTGGTTCCCACGTAGGGTTACTTCCACCCCCAAGGGACATTAGGCAATGTCTGGAGACATTTTTGGTTGTCACAACTGGGGGGAAAAAGCACTCTCCTGGTGTCTATTGGTGAGAGGCCAGGAATGAAGCATCCTGTAACACTCAGGCCAGCCCACCTCCAAGAAAAATTCTCCCACCCAAAATGTCAGTGGTGCTGAAGTTGAGAAATGCTGGTTTAGGTAAAAATTTTTCATCTCTCCGTACCTCAAATTCTTAATTCCTAAAAATGGAAGTAGCAGTTCTCCTAGGATTTTGCCAAGAACATGAAAGTCAACCCACTACAAGCAGGGACCAGGGCCTGGCTGGAGGTCAGTGATACAGCATTTGCCTCCATGCACAAGGCCCTGGGTTAGGGCTTTAGCGTGCTTGCGCATGTGCACACACACCCATACACACACACATTATATTAGTAGCAATAATAAATAAAGCAAAGACTAGCAAAATTCTCCTGCAAAAGGCCAGGAGGTGAATGTTTCTGGCCTTCGGGACACCATGGTCACGGAGGTAATTCCTCAGCTCTGCCACTGCAGACAGATGATACATAAACAGTTTGGACACTGGGATTGGAATTCCCTATAATCTTCACATGTCACAAAATAATTTCCTTCTTTTGACTTATTTCAACTGCTTACAAGTATGAAAACTATTCTTAGTTCACTGACTGCATAAAACAGACAGTGGGCTGGATTTGGTGAGCCAAGCCCTGACCTAAAGACCTTGATGGAAGCTGAGCATTGGCAAAGATGCCATCAATGCTGTCACGCTCGAGGGAGGAGCTAAGGCAGCAGCTGGTGCCCCGACTGCTCCAGTCCTGCCACGTGGGTCTCCACTGGACCTCAGCAGTTACAGAGCACCAGCCACAGACACAGCAAATCCCCCGGCACAAGAAAGGCCACTTCATCATCTCACCTAAGTGCAAGGCCACTGTGCCACCCTCACAAATGCTGAGTGCTCCTTCTGTTGCTCAGTGAACAACCACTACTTCCTGACCAGGCCTAGAGCAAGTGGCCCCTGACGTCTGGCACCACCCAACCTAGAGCCATCCTGGCTCCTACCCACCCTCCTGCCAGTGATCCCTCAAAGCCTCAGTCTTCTCAAAGGTTCTTGTTAACACCTTCCCACAGACTCTACGTTGTCTGGGGAATCGCTGTCACTCCCACTGCAATGAAAAATAAACTCCACTCATGTAGCCAAGTTCCGTGGGGACCTTGGGCAGAAGGACACTAACACTCTGAATAAGCTCCAGCAGGGAACAGTAGAGCCTGGCTTTTTTCTTTCACATGGGATTTTCCTCAGCCACGTGGCCTGAGAGGAAGGGTCTCCTCTCGAGCCTCGCCTCTTTTCTGTCTCAGTGGCTTGGGGAAGTCCCTCCCCAAATCGCACTGGAATTCCCTTGTTGGTACCAAGAGGGAACTGGATTTCACAGTGGCTGATGGTGTCATTTTTGCTGTGCCTGATGCCAGCCCTGCTGACCACCAGCTGGGTCTGAAGGCTAAAAGCCAGGTCCGCTTACACTGGGCTGCGTGGACAAGAACCTCAGGGTTCAGGAGACAGGAACACATGTCCACATACAGCTCACAAGACCAGAGCCCAGGGCACTGAAGCAGGCAGGAAAGGGCTGTTAATAGCACACTGAGAGCTGGGGGGGGCAAAGTCGCTCCGCAGGGGAGGGTCCAACAGGAAGAACTCTGGCCCAGTGACCACAGGCCTCACCCATCTCTAGCTCACTCTGCCCTTCCCACCTGGGCTGGGACTATAGTTGTCACGCAGCATCAAATGGCACAGATAAAATCCTCAGGTAAAATCCTCCACCGAACTCCTCAGCCCCACCTGCACTTTAGAATCTCCTGGGTCCCACCCACATAGCCTGTTGGTAGCTCTGGAGTGGGGCAGGGACCTGGGTATTTTTGAAAAGTTCTGCAGGTGCAGCCAGTTATCTGCAACTCATGTGAAGTTGCAGATGGGGGAACTGAGGCCTCTGGAGGGTGCCCAGGCCTTTGGAAGGTATGCACTCCCCAATTTGCCTCATGCATGGACCCTGGCCACTTGCTGCCAGCATCTGAGTTGGAGAGCCGGCTAGCAGACAGCGGGCAGTGGGGGCACTGGCACACACACTATGACTAGCTTAGCATGGGAGATGGGGAGTGGGAGTCTTACTGTTGCTTTACACAAATCAGTAACGTGAAAACATTTTATCACAGGCACTATTTTTCTAATGATGACAAAGGCAATGGAAAAATTAGGACAACGAAGACGAGTGCTCTTAACCATTTACCCAGGGGTCCACCTCAGGGATTCCTGTGACCACAGTGGCCTGAGAGACCACACAGAAGCAGGCTGGTGGGGCAAAGTCTCCAGAGAGACTTCTCTGGGTCCAGAAATTGCAGGTCAGTCCAGAGCTTGGTGCTTATTATATAAGAGCTTACGCAGATCACACAGATTCTTGAGTTTATATCAGGCAGGGGCCTGGGCACTTTTACATTTGCAATTTCACAACCAGTTTGGAGCAGTCTTGAGGAGTCAGGCTAGGTTTATTGCCTTCTTGGAGAAACTGAGGTATGCAGAGGCAAGTCAAGGTTGGGATCAAGAGGACCTGGTGAGGTAGGGGCAGAGCCAGGCTGTAGCCAGGTCTTTGTACCCCTGACTCTCACTCCATCTCCAAGGCACCCACTTGGCACTTAGTAGGTCTGTCCTGGCCTGATTGATCTAGCGCAACCCTCCCAGTATAACAGAATAGACTTGAGTCCGGCACACAGAAGGCCTTGAGATTTCTTGTGTCAAGTCAGCCACATGGCCTGGGAGGAAGGGTCTCAACCCGAGCCTTGGTTCTTTTTTATCTCAGTGGCTTGGGGAAGTCCCTCCCCAAACCCTGCTGCAATTTCCCTGTTGATACCAAGAGGGAAGAGGATTTCACGGTGGCTGACAGTGTCATTTTTGCTGTGTCTGATGCCAGCCCTGCTGACCACAGGGAAGGTAAAAAGCCCTATGCTGGGCAGGTTAACGTCTGTTGATTGATTAGCACTCACAACAACCTACCTTTATTTTATAGATGAGAAAAGAGTTGCAGGGAGGTGTGGGATGGCATGGTGAATGGAGACCAAAGGACAATGTTTAATCCAACCTGAAAGCCAGCTTTGTGAAGGTTGTGTTCCCAAGCAGCCATGGCTGGCATGCATGGCTGGCCTTCTTTGGGCAAAGGAAAGGAGGAGAAAGAGCTTTCCAAAGCCAGATGGGCCTTTACTGGCTGTGGGGCACTGGGCAAATCACCTCTTTGAGCGTCATTTCATCCTCTGTCCCAGCAGGATGAGAACAGCGTCCCCCCGCAGGTGCGGGGTGTGGTGAGAGCATGCGCACTGAATGGCACCACTCAGGTGACCATGCAGAGCACAGAACTGAGTAAGAGGACTAGTGAGAGGCACAGGGCTACCTTCCATGGATGAGCACCTCTGGGGTCTGGTCCACGCCCCCACTCTGGCCTCTGCTCCTCTCTGTGCCAGGGCCCACACCACTGATTTTGGATGTAGACAAGGCTCAGCAAATCACTTATCGTGTAACTTCAGACAAATCATTTTCTCTCTGAGCCTCAGTCTCTTCATCTGTAAAATGAGAGCAACTGCATCTCAGTGCAGCTACAAAGAGGAACGAGCGATGGGTAGGAAGCACTGAGCACAGAGTCTGGCCTGGGGTAGGTCTTCAGAAAGGGGTAGCTCAGAGTAGCATGTCTGCAGTCACTGCTGTAGATGCCCCTCATGAACTTAAAGCCCCTGGGAGACTCCTCATCCCTCCCCTCACCCACTTACACAAGTCTCCATTCCTTCAGTGCTGTCCTCACCTCAAGTCACCTGGCCAAAGCACAGAAACTGGGTGAAAAGAACATCTCTCTTTGCACTGGAATTAGCCTTGTCCTAGGCCTCAGGGGCTGATCATTAACTTGTCCCTGCTCTCTGATCCTGCAGCCTGCAGAGGCCAGCGTCTACCCAGCCTGCCAGAGAAGAAGACTGGAGTTTTCCGCACAACCAGGGCTGCACGTGACCTTGAGCAAGTCCTTTTCCCTTCATGGATCTCGGAATTTTCATCTTTACAGTGGGGAGCTTGGCATGCAAACATTTATGTGACTTTTTTGTTTGTTTGTTTCTTTTGGTATTGGAGATAGAACCCGGGAACTCCTGCGCATGCCAGGCATGTGCTGTATCGCTGAGCTGCACCCCCAGCCACAGCTGGCCATGTTGAAAAAGTCTCCTGTGGAGGGCAGAATAATAGAGAGGAAAGGCTGCAGCTCCGAATCAGCCAGTCTGACTTCAAAGCTCAGAGCCGCTGTTTTGCCACTGGGTAACGTGGGGAGGCTCATTCATTTTCTATTTCTTCCACAACTTTCATTCCTCAAAATGAGGTCAAAGTTAGCTTCTCCCATTCAGACACAAGGCCCTTACAAGAGTCTTGCACAAAGCAAGTGTTCAATAAATATCAGCTCTTGTTCCATGGAAGCCCAGGATATGAAACAGAAAATACAGGCCAGCTGGGGTTGAAACAGGGGAGGGGCAGAGGCCTAGCTGCTTGTTGCCAACCCAGTGAGACCGTGACACAGTTCTCTTGGAGCTTCAAGACCTGGGGTGAACAATTTGAAAACCATAAATGGGACAGTGTAGGGCAGGGGTCAAGGAGCCATAGTTTGCAGTTTGAATCCAGTTGCCACCTGTCTAGTGTGGCCGGTCAACTAAGAATGTGTTTCTCAAGTGTAAACGGTGGAGAAGAGCAATAGAAGGATAATATTCAGGGATGTGAAAGCTATGTTTTTATTTTGGCACCCATAAATAATGCTCTATTGCCATGTAACCATGCCCACTGGCACCCTGCCACTCTCTTCAAAGGCAGAGCTGAGTCGTTGCAACAGAGTGGCCCACAGAGCCTAAAAATATTTACTATCTTTTATTTACGGGGCACATCCACCAACCCCTGCTGCAAAGCATCTCTTTCTTTCTATTTGGAAGACTTTGCCCTTGCAGAGATCCTGGCTCAGTTACTTCACACACAAAAAACGAGATTCCGGACCTATCATTTCGCTCCTCTGGATCTCAGCTGTAAAGAGCCCGTGTCATTTCTAGGTTTCAGGGAGGTTGCAGAAAAAAAATAAGCAGACCCTTCAGTGCATGGTGCTCACACACCATCAGCAAGTGACATCCACTTGGAGGAGACATGGATCAACACTGAACGCTTAACAGATACACGTGTATTTCAACACATATAAAGTGTGATCAAACAATACAGGGAATGTTTAAAGTTTTAAAAACTGTATTACAGTAAAAGACAGATTGCCATTAATTCTCATCAAAATACTCCCCCTTGCTTCAAACACACTTATCCCACCACTCTTGTACTTTCTGAAGCAGTTCTGGAAGTCCTCTTTTGTGAGTGTCTTTAGTGGCACTGTTGTGGCTGCCTTGATGTCCTGAACTGATTAAAAACATTTATCTTTCATGGTCATTTTAACTTTTAGGGAGATATAGAAGTTGCATAGTGCCAGATCTGTTCAATAGGGTGGATGAGGCTACACCGTAGTGTTTTCACTTGACAGGAATTGCTGTAAATGTTTTGAATCAACTCACGATATCGAGGCAGCCATAAAAAAAACTCATGGAAGAGGACTTCAGAAAGTGGCAAGGACAATGGGATGTGTTCAAAGTGAGGGGGATTATTTTTAGGGGTATTAGTAGCCATGTATCATTACTGCGGTAAGTTTTTAAATTTAAATGTCCACTTTTTTATTACAAATCATATTTGCAAAGAGCATAACTAGCACACGAAATGCAAAGTTTTGGGGATAACGCTTGTTTAGAGCAAATGACACAAATCTACTGGGACTGATGTGTCATCTGTCTTGAGATGCAGCTTCCGTCTTTGGATTCCTGGTCGCATCCTTCCCTCTCACTGCCATATTCACATCCACACGATAGGAAGTGAACAGCAGGAAGGGCGGACGGAGGAAGTTACACACACCATTTCCACATAGGTCCCATCAATCAAGCTTTGTCCCCCGCTTCCTTTAGGAGTACAGTACCATCAGTCAAAAGCAAAGCATTCGAAAGTGGGCGTGAGAGAAGACCAAAAGAATAAGAGTTTTTAACAAAAAGTCCTGATGTTGTTGTGCCTCTGAATTGTTCCTGAACTGCCTTTCTCTGGCTTCTTGATACCTGAAAAAAGCCTCTATTTTTTAAGCTACTTGAAGACAGGCATTCTTTCACTTGTAGACAAAAGAATTCTCACTGATACTGCTGGCTTCCTGGGTAAGGGATGCGTCATACAGCTTGGTTCAAAGTCAGGCTTAGCCTCTTCCTGCTGTGCGACCTGGAAAAGTTAGTTGCTCCCCCTCTCTGGGCCCTCATACTGTCATCTAAAAACACAGTGGCTACTTGTGTTTTGTTTTGCTAAGGGCACAATTTCAGAGGGTCAAGGAACTCAAGCCCTCAGATCATGGCATGTTATCACTATTTGTTACATAAGACCACCTTCTACTTTGTTTTTGTGTTCATTTTCAGTTCCTTCTATCCCCAATTTCCCTGCCACCCTTCCCGTAGCAGCCTTTCAGATGTGTTTAATGTGTAGCTTTTCTTTTTGAGTGTGTGTGTGTGTTCTTGCAAAGTGTGTTGCCATTTGTGCGTGAGTATATAAAGTTACATATTTGCATTGTATTCTGGTTTCTCTTCAACCATAACCATTTTATGAGATGCATTTACATAACTGTTGGTGTGCTCCCTCCTCATTCTTTACTAGTAATGGTGTCCACATGACCTCCAATTCCCAACTCATAAAAAATGCTACGTGAATGTCACCACTCATGTCTCCTCTTGGGGTTTTCTGAGAATTCCTTGATTATTTTCATCCAGGAGCAAAACTGCTAGATCACAGGGCACAAACACACTTCACTGGATTAAATGCTTGCAGGCGCTGTTAAAAAAAGCCTGACCCAGACCACACTCTTCCTAGCAATGCACAAGAGAATTCCCATGGCCCCTGCTCCTGCTGACACTAGGCATTAGTCAGTGTTACGGTTTAAATATGAAGCGTCCCCAAGAGACTCATGTACTGAGGGCTCGCCCCAGTGCAGCAGTGTTCTCAAGCAGGGCCTAGAATGGTGACTGGCGCATGAGAGCACCCACGTCATCAGTGGATGAATTAATAGCTGAATTGGCTTGGAGGAGGTGGCACCCAGATGAAGGAAATAGGTTACTGGAGGTGGCCTGTGGAGAGTGTATCCGGTTCCAGCCCTTTCTCTGGCTTTCCCATTCTCGCTCTCTGCGTCTTGGGTGGCAGGAGGTGAGAAGCTTTCTTCCTCCATGCCTTTCTGCCACTATGTTCTTACCTTGGAGCCAAGCAACCATGGACTGAAACCTCTGAAACTGTGAGCCAACATAAACCCTTCCTCCTTTAAGTTGAGCATGTCAAGTATTTTGTTCACAGAAATAGAAAACTCTCCAATACAGTCAACTTTCTTATTTTTGCTATCTCATTGATGTAAATCTCATTGTTTCATTTGACATTTCTCTGGTATTAGTGATGTTGAGCATCTGTTCAAATGCTTTCAAACAAATTTTAATTATAGTACCTATTCCAAAGGGCCGTTTTGTAAGTTAAAAGAATCAACATATGTGAAATGCTTAACGTGTTGCTTAATACACAGTAAATGTCCATTAAATGCAAAATTTGAAGACCAAGATATCATGGTTTAAAATTTCGTCCTGTTATTATTATCATTATTATTATTATCATTGAAATACTTGACACACAGTAGGTACCAATAAATATTCCTTCCCATGGCCTTGTCTGACCTCCTTTGCTCCTACCCTCCACTGTGGTGGAGCAGGCCCCTGGACCTTTGCACAGCCTCACCTCTGTTCTCTTCACTCTCCCTGGTAAGGTCCTTCCGAGGCTCCTTCTGACCACAAAGGCTCTTCAGAATGGCACTGGCAATGGGCAGCATCATGGCAGTGGAAGCAGTGTTGCTCAGCCACATGGACATGAATGAGGTGGTCACCATCATGCCCAGGATAAGCCTGCACAACAAAGGGAGTTAGAGATGAATCCAGATCCCTGGGCCCAGGAGATCTTTCGCTCCCAGTTTCCCATCCCCGAGGAATCCACCCTGTTCATTTTACAGACAGAAAATTGAGGCCCAGAGAAGCCAAGTTAGTGGCAAAGAGGGAACCAGTAATACGGGCTACTTTAGAGCTAAGGAATGCTTGGCTCAGTGTATTTCGGTGAACTGAGCACAGACACCCAAGGTCAGATCATCCTAAAGCCAATGCAAACCTGACATTTTCTCTCCCTTGCCTCCAAATCCTTGCTGGCACTGGTTTCAGGACAGCAGCCTCGGCACAAGGGTCCTGTCATCTTGCCCTTGGCTTTCCCAGACCCCTTCCCTCCCTCCTCTCGTTCTCTGCTCGCACCCTGAACGTCTCACCAGCACCCACACAGCCAAGCTTGAATGATATATACCCAATTCTCTGAGAATAAAATTCCAATCCCAGCCCAAGGGCCTGAGGCCTGGTAGAATTGAGTCCTGGCTCCCTCTCTCTCCAAGCCCATCCTTAGACCCCTTCTGCATCTCCCCAACACTGCAGCCCCCCATCACCTGGATAGGTGAATGGCACACAAGCATGGTAACTGTGGCAAGTCATCTCTTATTGCTCGAGGCTGAGCGAGCTACTTGAACTCAGTCTGTCGTCCTCACACTCTGAGAAGCAGGCACTGTGACAGTGCCATTGCGGGCCAAAGTCATTTACAGCCCAAGCACCCTGGTCACACTGCCCTAAGACTACACACTGGGCCTCCCAGGCCTATTTTCAGGGAAGCAGTGGACACAGGAGTGCCCGAGGCTTTGACCTTGAACTAGCGGCATCACCTTTCTGGGCCTCGTGGGCTGGGGTCAGCATCTTGACCCCTCTCCGAGTCGTCCTATGCACCGTGAGGACAGCTGCGCACAGGTGACCCAGCACAGCGCCTGGCCCACACCAGGGGTTCCCTCAGGAGCTGAGAATGGGCAAGTCGACGATGGCGGGAATGATGAGCTTCTTGGCCCTGACAGCTGAACCTGGAAGCCGAGAAGGGTGGACTCTCTGCCTCCCCAAAAGGGCAGGCTGTGACCCTCCTCACCTGGCTGGCTGGACCCCAACGAGCATCAGGACCTTGAGGGCGATCCGGCGGTGCAGGTTCCACTCCTCGATGGCACAGGCCATGATCAGACCACTGAGGAAGAGGAAGTTGGTGTCGAGGAAGTACTGGGGACAGACTTTGTGGGAGGGCAGGATGCCCGCGAAGGGGAAGAGGATGATGGGCAGCAGCGCTGTCACCGACAGGGGCAGGGCCTCTGTGCACCAGTACACTGCCATGAGCAGGATGATGAACAGGCAGCGGCCTTCCTGCGGGAGACACAGGCTCCGGGTTAACGGGGCAAGGGGTGGGGGCGGGCATCTGAGGCCCATTCTCAAGGAAGCAGTGGATGGGGCAGTACCCAAAGCTTGACCTCTGAGCTTCCTTTTGCTCAACTGTAAAATAGGGAAGCTATTTCTGTCCATCCAGCGAACTGCTGGAGGAGTAAATGAAAGACCTCCCGCCTTGTCTTAGAAATAAACCAAGAGGTGAGGATGGAAATAAAAACAATTTACTTGGTGGGGGGCAGAAAGTTCTGGAAGGGCAGTGGGGAGGTGAAACAGAGAAGGGAATTCGACGTGTGCTCCTGAGAAGGTCATCGCTGTGCACAGCTGGAGCAGCATCCTGACAGGAACCCAGGGACAACACACCTCAGAGGTCTCCCGCCAGGTGCGATGCTGGGCTTTATCTGCCATCCCGGGGAACCTCAGGCCTTCACGTGTGCAGGCTAAGCACACTCTGCACCCAGAGAAGCTCCCCAAGATGCAGCAAGAAGCCATTGGGCCGTGTGGGATGGTGAGGCCCCGTGGGGACTTAGACGTAACCCCAAGAGCACCTGCCACCTCCGTACAGGTGCTAAGCACAAGACCTGACACGGTGTGTATGCTGCAAATGCAGACAACTGACAGCCACTGGGCACTTGACTGCCACACTTATCTATGTACCCTGGCAGGCCAACAGCTATCCCAGTTTGGATAATGTGAGTCCTCCAGAGGGATTGGAAGCTTCAGTGCCCACAGGAGCCCAGATGTACCATCGAGGAACTCTTGGGCTCCCTTAGACAATTTCACATCTTTGCACTTTGAAAAAGGCACGAATATGAGGCGCTTATTTCCCTTTTATCTTAGTTCTATTGTAAGACACTTGGGCATTCAGGCTCTGAGGCCTGCTGGCTACCTTCAGCTCATCGGTTTCCTCTGCCCAGGGAGACAGGCCTATAGCCAAATCATTTATCCCCAGAGAGACAGGGTCTGAAGCACCGCACAGTACTCTGAACCATGGGAACTGAGCCAGCCAGTGGAACCTGCAAAGTGCTGATCCTTAGTACCTCCTGCTAATGGTCTGAATATCTGTCTCCACCCCCAAGTTGAAAGCCAGTCCCCTTGGTAAGAAGAGGTGGGCTTTGAGATGTCTAAGTCATGAGAGTTTGGCCCTCATGAATGGGATTAGGGCCCCTCTAAAAGAGCCCTAAGGGCCTTCTTTCCACCGTGTGACTCAGCACATGGCAACCCAGCAAGAAGATGCCATCTTTGAAGCAGGGATCAAGCCCTCCCTGGGCACTGAATGTGCCAGGGCCTTGATCTTTAACATTTATTGGGCTATTCAGTAGAGTTCTGGAGGCTCTGTGAGCAATAAATTTCTGTTTTTAAATATATTATCCAGTCTAAGGCATCTCATTTGAGCAGCTCAAATGGACTAGATGTTTCTTCTTCTTTGGGTCTCACCAGTCCTGGTCACACCATGACTCCTGCAGCTTGCTCTGGTCTTCAGTGCATGTGTGGCTGATACGTCCAGGGAAATACCACTCCTAGGAACACCTCCCAGCCAAGAAGGTGGGTTGCCTTTCATGTGGGGCAACTTCGGCCTGTTGAACAGCATCTCCCGGAGGTACCCAGTATGGTTAAGACCCTGGTGTCCCAGAAGATACCTCTTTGTTCATACAGTTGTGCGATCTCCATTCTCCTCTTACAGAAAAATTCCTCACAATCAAAGCTTTGCCGCAGATCCTTCTGGAAAATCAATCAATGACAGATGCCTTCTTGGAGATGGTGACATCTTTCTAAGCTGGGACTTGAGGTTGACTTGGTGCAGGGAAGGAAAGGGCTGCCTTCTTGCCTGTGCTGGAAGCTTCTTTTGTATTTGAGTCAAATTCTCCAGCTGGATTTGGGGCTTATCTGAGTCAAACCCAGCTAACAAGGGCCAGCTTTGTTTATGGAACAGCCACATGTTACTTACAAATGAATCAGTCAGGTGAAAATAGGTATTTCTTGAGTAGACTATGAGTGTGGTGCTAGCATAAAAGAAGCTGTTACTCCATACTTAGAGAAGTACATGGGGACATCCTACTTGGATAGAATCACTGGCAGGTGTGTGAGCTGCGAGGAGCCCAGCAGGTGGCCATAATGTCAGACACATTTGTGTCAGACATTTTGGTACGTCATCTAAGGCCACATGATGTATTCTCAAGGAAATGCTTAAGTCAGATAAGTTGCCAGCAACTGTTCTTCCCATCACTTCCTTAAAAATTCATAAATATACATTGAAGGCTCTCACAAATCATGTGATCACATTTATTTGTCTTTGTTTAACTCAACATGTCCAAAATACATTTGTCTACAGACTTAGATATCCCTTAAAATTCTACACAACTTGTGTTCCGTGAAAAGTGGTTTAGAAATGCTGTTAAATTGTAATCTACAAAGATTCAGGCATTCAACATTCTTTGCTTACTCTGTCTCCCCAACTACAATGATGGTCCATGAGAAGCAGGTCCCTGTTTGCTTTGTCTTGTTCTGTTTTGTGTTGCTTTCATGTAGCACAGTGCCCAACACAATGTAGGGGCTTGGTAGCAATCAATGAAGAAGGGAGGGAGGGATGGATGGATGGGTGGATGGATGGGTGTGTGGATCAGTGAGTGGGTGGATTGATGGATTGATGGATGGGTTGTGATTTTTACTGTTTGCTGAGCCCCAGGGTGGAGGCTCAAGACAAAGAGAATCTCAGGAATCAGAGTAAGTGAATCTGCCCTCAAGGAATTCAAAGTCTCAGTGACTGGTTGCTGCAGATTCACAAGTGCATCACTAAGCAGAATGTCCAGTAGCAAATGTAGCTCTAAGTTCATGAGGGACCTCTGGGGCTGGATATTTAACTTAGCTTAGAAGACAAAGGGGGAGAGCAGGGACGACTTCTCTGAGGAGGGGCTACTTGAACTGAAGATTAGTAAATAAAAGCTTTTATAGAGTCCCAAGATCAGACCCTCCATTGTTGTGCACTATGTGAGCATTTATTTCTCTACTGTACTCTTCAATCCCAAGATCGATAGAAGAATCTTGTGAATTTACTCCTCTAATTCTGTCAACTTAGAGGAAACAAACTTCTTGAAAAACATAACTTAATCAACTATCAGAAAAAAGAAATAGAAAAGCTAGATATTTCAGTACCTATAAAGACACAGAATCAATCATTAAAAACCTCCTCACAAAAACATGCCAAACCCTGCTGACTTCTATGGTGATTCTACCAAACAGTGAAGGAATGCGTAATGCCAGCTTGCACAAACTCAGAGAAGAAAGAAAGAAGGAGCTCATCCCATTTCTTTTGATGAGGCCAGGAAAACCTTGGCAGATCCTGACAAGGGCATTCCAAGAAAAGGAAAAAGAATAGAGTGATGGAGAAAGCAGTGTGCAAAGTCAACTCTGAGAAGCTCAGCAGAGAGCCGCTTTGTCTACCCTGACTTATGTCACTGTGTAGCCACGTCATCGCAGTAATAATGACAACCACCAACATTGTTTTAGTATTTGCTAAATTCCCCTGCCTCTTACATGTATTAATTCATTTAATGACCACAACAACCTTGACAGGGAGGTACTATTACTTTCTCCCTCTTTTCAGTAGGAATTACAAAAAGACATTGATTTAGGTCACGAAGGTGATGCAGTCCCAGGGCTGAGCTGTAGCTCACAAACTACAGTCTAAACCAGGATTCTAAGTTTAAGATTCTTCTCTCTCAAATACCTAAAGGACTCTAAGGATCATTAACAGTCAACAGTACTTACTATTTGTCAGGCGCTTTTATAATTTACATGTTTTAACTCATTCTATTCTCATGACCCTTTGAAGCAGGTGCTTTTGTGTCCATTTTGCAAATAAGACAATGGTGGGGAATAAGTCAAGCAAGTTGCCCAAGCTTTCTGAGGCAGAATTTGAACCCAGGTAATCTGACACCAGGAATATATGTTCTTTCTGTTGTGGTGCTAGTGGGGATTGAATTTAGGGACTTCACACTGAGCTACAGTCCTAGCTCTTTTTTTTCTCTTTTTTGAGATGGGGAACTCTCTGGGTCACTAAGTTGCCCAGGCTGGGCTTGAACATGCAATCCGCCTGCCTCAGCTTGCCAGCATGCTGGAATTACAGGCCTGCATCCATTCTTTATCCCAATGCCTCTTGGTACACACATGGCTGCTCTTCTCAAATTCCCCTTCCTTTTTTTCCCCCTCTAGCATGTCTTAATCTCTCACATTCCTAAGCCAAAAGAGCATCTTTCATCCTCTCTGTCTTGTCCTTGCCCTTCCTTTCTCTCTGTCTCTTCTCCTCTGGCCTGCACGACCTGCTCTGAAAACCATCACATTCCCTCCTGAGCCTCTATCCCAGAAGCCTCTTCCTCTAGCTCTTGCTCCTTTTCTCCAGAAAACAATCCTGGGAACTCTAACCCCCTCCTTCATAGGACAGCAACACCACCACCACCACTACCTCCACCAAACAATAATGTAATACTCATAACCCAACTCTTACTGAGAACTTGCTATATGCCCGACACGATTCCAACTACTGCACTGCACTACCTCAGCGGGACTGAAGTAGTTTCCAAATTATCTCTGTGCCACTGAGGCACAGAGTGACTCATCTGGCCAAGGTCCCGGAGCTGGTGAATGTGGGCAGCCTGCTGAGCGTAAGTCAGGGGTGCTGACTCCAGAGCTTCTGCTCTGCTCTTGGCATTCCCGCCAGCAAAGCAGGTATGGGAGAGGGCAAACAGCTCTTCCCAAATATCCAATCAGCATTGGGATGAATAAGCAATGAATAATGTTTTAGCATAAGTTTGTCCCATGTAATATTTGGGATATACTTATGCCTAAAAATGATTCATTGTTTCAGTTCAAAAGGAGGTGACCATCCTGTGTTTTATCCGAACACTCACTGGGCCCATACCACAGAGGTGGGAGAAGGACCAGGTATGGTCATGAGGAGAGCCCTTCAGCCCAGGCCACTTTAG